GACTCGTGCAGTACTCCTACTAGTACTACTACTGTATGTAGCTCGAACGAATGATTTCCTCTTGAAAGGATACGATTTCGAATCGCGCCCTTGATGGCGATCGGGGACAAGGCTGTTGCAAGTGCGGGTGACGCAAAGCCTCGTTTCCTCGCAGATCCTGATGAAGCAACGTACTGGCAGCGTGTCAAGAAGACGTGGGACATGCTTGACTTTCGCACGGCATTCGCTACATCTCAACAAGTGCAAGATGCAAAGTCCATTGTGTGGCGTGCCAGTACGTGACGACCCGATGTCTTCGTACATGATCGTACCTGTTCACGCACAGAGAACGGTGCTCCAATCTCCGACGAGGCCAAGTACCAGGCAGCATTGCATCTCACCCGGGCAGTATTGCACCCCGACACAGGTATGCCTGCCTCGTCATCGACTGCTCTGATGTTCACCAGGGGATACGGTGATCTTCCCCCTGCGGGTGTCCATGATTGTTCCCATGAACTTGGGTCTTGACTGCGGCATGATCTTGGCCTCCACGACGCGGTCCACTATCTTTTGGCAGTGGTAACATGCTAACCAGGCTCGGCATTTCTCGCCACCTTAGCCGCTTCTCAGCAATTCTAACGGCTTCGTAGGCTCAACCAAACGTATAACGCACTACACTACTATGCCAATCGGAATGCAACGAATCAAGACACGACAAGCCAGCGGATTGCCGCGTACATCGGTGCCACAGCCAGTTCCGTCGCGGCGTCGGTAAGGACAATGGCGAATTCCACATTCGAGCCACGTCGTGCATGACCCGAGCAGGACGTTGATGTGACTTTTTCGTACTGTTTTCTCCATCTTGATGCATCCACCGCCCCCGCCACAGTTGAACCAACTCGATGCCATTAGCTGGGCGTTCGACGATGGGCCAAGGCGCACCAAAATCCGCTCATGCTTCGATTTGCGCCGTTTGCCGCCGTTGCTACCGCCGATCTGCTCAACCTTGCAGTCATGCGCCAGTCCGAATACCTACGCGGGGTCAACATCTTCGACGAGACTGGCGAGTGGGTCGGGGTAAGCAAGGCGTGTGGGCTGTACGCTGTTGCATCGTGCATTGGCGGGCGCATCTTTGCCGCGGCGCCGATTTTGATCATTCCACCGTTGATCATACAGCGCCTCGAGACAAAGACAATGGCGTTCCGCACGCGGCCATGGCTCAAGCTCCCTGCGACGCTGGCGCTCGTGGCAGTCATGATCCAAACGTCGGTCCCGCTCACGTTTGGCCTCTTTCGACAATCAGCCCAAGTCGACACTCGCTACATCGAAAACGATTTTCGCCACCGCGTCAACGCGAAAGGGGTCATCATGCAGACGGTCACGTACAACAAAGGCATTTAACATCATGGAAAACAAGCGTCGGCCTGGCTTGACCTTGGCTGGTCCTCCTTCCACTGGTGGTGATTCGAGTGCACAGGATTTGGGCGATCGACTGCCCACTGAAAGTGGGGATGCCCTTCGATCCAGTTCCATTTGCATGTGCAATCGTTGTGCTGGCCAATGCCCGTCGGCTGGCAACGCCTCCGGTCCATGGAGTGTTGTCGGTGGTGTGATGCGACTCGGACGCCACCGAAGCTTGCACCAAGAATGATGGAATGATTATAGAATTGGTTTACGTCGTTTACGCATCCGCCCATCCTTCGGCATTGTGCAAACGCACGTCGGCGTCCATGTTGGGCGAGTTCTGAATCGCATACAACAGCTTGGCCTTTAGGATCTCTTTCGTCGAGTACGCCGGCAGACTCAGCGAGAAGAAGCATGTCTGGGCGTGAGGCAGGTACTGATCGGGGTGGCTTCGCGCGCCTTGGTCGTGCGGGGCCTACAATGTGTTTCATTCGTACCCAACATGACGTAGAGAAAGCACCTGAATCTTGAAATTCATGGGGAAATCCTTGGCCGAATTCGGCATGCGGCTGCGCGCCCACACAAAGAGCAAAAACAGCGTTCGCTCGTCGGGGGAAAACTCCTCCAACACTTGCCAGAACGCGACGATGAGGTCGCTGTTTGGGTCCACATCTTCGTACTCGGTGCATTGCTTGAGCAGCGACACATCCACTTCCCGTCGACCGCACACGAGGGTTTCGAGCTCCTTGGCGGTGAACAACCCGGCAATCTCCATCGGAATCACAGCGCTCAAGCCTTCGCGCAGAGCAGCAAGTTGTGGGCCGCTCTCAACCAGCCGCTTCTTGAATGTCAAGTCGACAAACGCATCTCGAGACGCATAGTCGACGTGCTGTGTCTCGCCGTCTGGGCGCAACGCCACCTAACCCAACCAACGACGCAATGAACTATTACGTTTGCGTCATGGGTGTCGAACCTCGGTGCCGTCGCTCAGGTGGGTTGTAAAGGTAAACTGCTTGCAGTACTCGTCGGCATCCTTGGACGGTGGCAGCGTTTCAAGTGTGGTCAACGTGTTGAACGCGACAACGTCAATGTCTTCCAAGTGATGGCGATTCAACGGAAGTCCGACCAACGGCCGCCACACGACCGACGGAAGGTCGAGACCCATTTGGAGCCCATGGCGCACGGCAGTCCCGATCAACTTACCGAGGAAGCGGTGCAATTCAAGAGCAATGGGACCGACGGCAACGGAAATCGTGCCGCAGCTCGGGTTCAGCACAAACTTATCTTGATTCATTCCTGTCCCCGACCGGCGATTCGGACATGGAACGAGTAGCGGCAAAAGGCCCTGCTCACCCTTTGTGATTTCCACCTGATCCATCTGGAAAAACGTCTCGTTCAGCGGATGCAACATACACCACATGCATTGATGCCCACCTGGAGCTCATCGACAATCTGCTCAAACACAGCGCGGTACGGGCCGCCGTAGTCGTTGACGCCTTCCCCAAGGAATTTCACTTTGAAGGCTCGTTTTTGGCCGCCATGGCCCTTGCCCGTGTACGCTCGTCGGAAGCCTGGCACATACACATCCGCATTGATAGCACCGACAACCACGACGAGGTAATAAAGCCAAATCAAGCCGCAATCTCGATCAAAATGGAGCGTACCAGAGTCGCTCCACGTTCGCATTTCACGGTAGAGTTGTCCAAACACTGATTTTCGTAGCCGATCCGACGGGGACGGACATAGCGCGAGCTTGGACGCTTGGGCTTGAATGCGGTTGATGCGTATGATTCGAATTTCTCGCGGGTCTTCATATTCGTCGCTGGGTAGCGGGGTTGGCGTCGCCGTTGCTTTCAACGTAGCATCCCAGAAACTCAATTTGGTGCTGGTAAACGTGAGCCGGCGCAGCGCACGCACACTTCGGTCGTCAAAGCGGACGAGGGGCAAGCTGCGGAGCACCTTTTGGTTGAGAACCATCAGCAAGGCCACACGGGGCTGCACGGCAATATCGACCGCTTGGCAGGGCAAGTTGATCACGTCGACGCCGACTGTTGCGCACAGCGAGTTGATTTGATCGACGATTGATTGATCCGTTGCGAACATTCCGTGCGCCAACGTGCAAAACGCGTCGAAGCCGACTAAAGGTGCTTGATTTGTAGCAGAGGCGAAGGCGTCAGGGGGAGGGATCGTCGTCGTGGCTTGGATTTCAATGCCGTTTCGCTTGATCAAGACCAGCTCCGGCAGCTCTTCGTTGTCCCAGTACCAGGCATATCCACGTCCTTCTTCACCTCCCTCATTGCCTTGGGTCTCGACGCGATACCACAGCCGATTGCGATACACCCCTGGACAATGTCAAATATCGGTAAACACCGCGAGCAAACCAGCATACCTAACACAATGGCCTCTTCCGGAGCGTCCAGCGCACGCCCACCCTTGCTGATGATGCGCACACGGTCTCCTGCAACGAGCACCGTTGGGCTACTGCCGCACACTTGGATGCATCGCTCCACGGACGTGTCGACATCAATTTGCATGCCTTTCGATCGAATTGCAACCCGGCGGTAGCGATTTGTGCGCCATCGTGTGTAAAAGGCATAACTCGACTGCATGAATGCCAACGGCAACGGACGATCATGCGACCAAGCGTGCAAGACAGACTGCAGCTCCACGTTGTCTTGGCACAGCAGCGTCGGGGATAGACCTGGCTGCGACACCCACTTGCCATTCAGCGTCACCTTGTCGCCCGCTTTGCGCAAGCCAATGCACGGATACAACGTTTTGATGTGGCGATCGCTCTTGAGACCGTCAAAGGCAACGCCCAAGTCGGTCACAATGTGCTCGCCGTACTTGATTCCGTCCATGAAGAAGCGCAATTTGCCTACAGCATGGCATGAGATGTCGACCGCGACCCGTACGAGACGTACCAGATTCCATGTTGAGGCACACACCAATCGTGTCGCCTGTGTTGAAGTGGTCGCCGTAAATGCGCTCCGTCGAGTTGTGGTACGTCGCTCGAAAGTTGACAAACCCCCAGCCCTGCCACCGGCCCAAGTTGAGCGACGGCTGGCCCTTGACGTGCTTTTCACACACTCCCAAGAATACGCTGCCGAATTCGCCGTGGTCGACGCGGACTTCCCAGTAATGGATGCCGCTGCTAAACCCCACGGTGCCCAACGACAAGTTGCGCGCTTCTCCTGACGTGCATTGCACAGACATCCTGTCGTCGGACAAGTTCATGGTCGAGAACGTTGCTTGCTTATCCAGTACGAATAAGTGCTTGGATTGCGCTTCCAGCGTGCTTTGTACAGGAACCCACGTTTTGGTCTCAGGCTGCCACAAGCTGTGGGTGTACTCTCCAGTCAAGTTGGTGCCGTCTTCCGTCAGGTGGTATTGAGTTCCGGGCACCCACCGATCGCAGCCAAACTTGACCTGCCATCCCATGTCAACATCACCTTGAACCATGCCAAGTTCCACCAGTTCCATCGAGTGCTCGGCGTATTGCCCGACAACCGCAATCACAGCGTTCATGTCGGGGTATTCAACGACACCGGCAATGCCTGACGGCAAGTCGGTGCGGTGGAGACGAAAGATGACCCCGAGCTGGACTTGTTGCTTGGATGGAGGAGCAATTTCTGGAGTCGGGTACGTTGTGATCACTTGGTTCTCACTGTCGACTTCAACATGAGTCAAGTCATACTGACCATCCGCGCCCCAGCGGTACGTGTAGAGGGCATCGTTTGGCCAACGCACACTCATCCCTGTCAAATCGTGTCAATGCGCCGCCTTCTTCTCAACGACACAATACCTTCGCCTTCAATTCCACTCCAAGGACTGATGCCTTCGACGACGCCGATGCTGCCTTGGCCACCATCTTGATCGCGCCATTTCCAGTTGGGGCCGCGAATGACTTTGCAACCAATTGTTAATGGCGGTGGGGGCGGAGTGGTCGGTACGTCTGGTGTGCTTGCCGGGGGTTGCACTGGGAACGGTTGATTCAATTGGCCACTCCAGAACTGGGACGCTTCGTCACTGAGCACGCCCATTTCAAACCCATGGTGCCATTCCGTGTCACCAACTTTAAAGCCATATTGCGCGGCGAGCAAGATGCTTTTCTGGGCTGGAGTCAAGTATGCGACTGTGACGGGAGGGCCAACAGTCGGGGACGTTTGGAAGGATGGAGCTGCCGACGGCGACGGGGGCGTCGTCGGGGTCAGGAGTGATGCATTCTGGTCCTCAGAGGACATGTCGTCGTCGTCAGGTGCGTTGGAAAGCAATCGTGTCTCGCTTGGCGGTGATTCCGTGTCCGGTGGAGCTAACGACGGTGTTTGAACCACAGGGAGCTGGTCCAACATTTGCAAGAGCTGGATCGCTTTGGTGATGCGCGGCTCGAGCGATGGTTTTGCTTCGGATGGCGACACAACGAACAGCGTTGCCGTCAACTCCATCAAGCTTTCAAGGTACTTGGACACGACAGGGTAGTTTACGTACTCCTTGGCGAGGCGAGCGCAGGTCAACGCATGGAGTCGTGCGACAGGGATAGCCTCCAATTGCGAGATTGGGACTTGAGGAACAAGGCCCGAGAGGATCCGAAACGCTTTTTCTTTCAAATTCATGCTGGGCGAGCGGAACGCACGGCTCCACGCTTGAATCAATGCCACCGGGTGCTTGGACGCCATCAGAGTCGTCACAAACTCGGCGAGGCCGACGTTCGGATGCGCCAACACGTGGCTGTCGTGCCACACGACGGGCGGGTCATCCACATTCAACATCGACAACTGGTTCGTGACAATACTTTCGACGGCGCTGTCCCAGTGAATTTTGGCATATTTGCGGCCAGACGCGAGTCGGATCTGATCGTCGATGCACCGGAGAATTGCATCTTCTAGGTGTGGACTTAACGCGGTCACGACCGCGGGCTTGAAAATCTCCGACACGGTGGACGCCGGCGATGTATACGTCGCCACGAGCTTTAAGAACGTAGTCACTAGCTCCGTCGGCACGTCATCCAGCAAGCTCGTCGGCGATGCGGCCAAGATGTACACCAGCATCTTGCGGCAGTGCAGGATCGCCAAGGCACGTGTCAACGCGCGGAAATCCATCGTTGGGTCCACCGTCGACTTGATGCGTGCCCCGCCACTTGCCTTGATGTCCTTTGCAAAGTACCGGCAGTCAAAGTACTCTTCGCCAACGTACTCTTCCAAGCAATCTTCGTGCTCGCCCTTGTCATAGCTACAACATAAACAATCCGATCTCAAAACCCAACTCTCGAGCACGGCAGACTCCATCCATACATGATTTACATACCTCGACGTAGAGTTGCACGTGGGAGTCCAAATAGTATGCAGAACGGGAGAGAATCCAGGAATCGGATGCTTGAACGGCAGCCCACCCAAGTTAAACGTGAGTCGTTCGCGGCGGTTGAACGACGCACACGGGTACACTCCTAGCAAGTGGACATGAAATACCCTGCAGCACCCAAAGCGACGACTCGTACCCCCCGCAAACTCGACTCCTCGAAACGCCGCGTCCATGTTTTTGCCATTGAGCGTGAAAAACATCATGCCAGCGTCGCAGTCGATGCCACACCCAATCACGTCACCTGGTTTCCACTTGAGACCGTATGGGCAGCTGTTACCATGCCATTTCATCTGACGCCACCCGTCATATGCCCACGAGTGTGGCCCGTCGCCGACGCCGTCGCCGCGCTCTGAAGCCCCGCTGAAGGCTGCGTCCGCCCACCCGATCTGGATGCATCCAGATGTGCTGAGCGTCGCTTCGTAGTACCTATTTCAACATCCTTGAGCATCACACACCAGATTATCCACTTCTACGTACCATTTGCCCGCTAGCGCGATGCAGTCAGGAGCTCCAACAGAGGCAAATCCACCCCCTGCAGATCCCTCGACGAGCATGTCATCATTGATCGTGGCAAGACCGCTCACGGGACGCAACGGGTTCGGCCCTTGGGGAATCCTCTGCGCACATTGTCCACAATCGTCACGTGTGTTCAAAAGAGCGACATGACCGCACCACAATCGCAGGGCATTCGAGGTCGCCACTCTTGCCAGCATCTCGCTGCTCTTCTTGGCGGCGGTCGTCCGCTTCCAAAGCTTCGCCATTTGACAAAATCCAAGTCAGTGCCGCATCCACGTTGTTGCGGTTTGCAATCTACCCCGAGGCGATCTCGTCATTGAAGATATGAATACCATTTGCAACGTACCAATGCCTTCTTGCACCATGTGATGGGAAACCCCATTTCACTCAGTTGCTCGAGTAAAATGGGGGACACATCAGGTCGATTGCTTCGGGCAGCAAGGACGCTCGGCGCGGAGGCCGATCCTCCCGTCCGTCGCCTTGTGGCAGCGCCAACGTTTGGCTGCTTCACCAACCGATCCATGTCACTTGAGTGCTCAAAGCAAAAGTTGATGGCAGCTTCAACTTGGTATGAACACTTTTGCAAGGCCACCTCACACCTACGCTGAATGTTCAAATCCCCGTCGTGGCGAGTGTGGTGGATGCACCATTCGCGAGGAAAGCCCATTTCCATCATTTGCTGGCACAGGGCCGACGGTGGAGCAAAAGCTGCCGACATATCGTGTGCCGCGTCACCATTGCTGGCATCGACGGACGGGGGGCGCTGGGTATCGCACCACTTTTTGTACATCTGAATCCAATGCTCTTCAAGCAACCCAATATCCGATGTGTTTTGCGTGTGAATCGTTGCAACTTGAAACAGCGCTGGAATTGAAGCACGCAGCCAGACGAGGACGTCGCCTTGTTGGACAAGAGATCCCAGCGCGCGAAACCCCATGAGGCTGATGATCAGCGCTACGAGTTGGTCCTTTGCATCTTGGGACTCGTTCGTGTCGCCTGCGTCGTCGTCGTGATCGGACGGGTCGTCGTTCGAGTTCAAGACCGAAGTCAAGAAGTACGGCAAGTTGTTTTGAACCAACTGCGCCAAAATAGGCTGGGAAATGTCCGAGCTTTTGCATTCGACGTCTGGCAAGGCCGAAATATCCTCCAACGGGACTCGGATCGAGCGACTTGAGCTCAAGCTAAGGTCCGTTGTTGCTCCTACGTCCACATGATCCAATGCAGCAAAAGAACAAACAGAGCAGACCATGCTCACAGCGAGTTCAAGGTGTGCGCAATGCATGAAAACACATGGCCTTACCAGATGCGCCATTCTTATGCAGAAGCACCTCCGCCGCACCTTTTTCGACATCCAATCCGACCAACACCCCCTTGGCACCTCGAAACATGATTTCGTGGGTCGGAGCATTGGTAGATCGAGGCAGCAACTGAATGACCATCCCGACTTGCAGCCCTTCAATGTGACCGCCCAACACACAAAGCACCGCCAAAGCGCGAGTTCGAAAATCTACTCACAAAAACGTCATGTCGACGTGGGGAACGAATGCAAACGCACCAAACGAATTCGACGGTGCGGATAGCGCTTGCAAAAACACCGCATGCATAACTGTCGCCCACTCTGGAGATGGCAGCAGCGATCGCAGCAACAAAACAACTTCGACACCGCACCCGTGGTGGAGCTTGAGATTTGACTGTTTTCCTGTCTGTTTGTCCCCTTCCGCATTGGACACTGTTGGAATCAAACGGCCCAGTAAGTTCAGGAAAAAGCCGACCAGCTCCGACGCGTTGCGAGCGTCATCATCGTCGCCAGTGCCCATGTATTCGTCGTCCGATGTGGCTTGAATGTGAAGCGAAAGCGGGGACAAAAACGGGAGGAGTCGACGCAGAAGCTGCAGTACACGTTGTTGGATGGCAAACGTTCCTTCGTGTCACGCATCAGTGGATCATAGTGTACGCGCATACGCACCTCGTTCCACCAGCTGCAGCAGCAATCGCAGCCACCGTCCCGACGACAAGTGCTGTCGGCAAATCGCAGCTCCGCTCACTGAGTGCAGAAGACTGCAAATTTGATAGCAATATTGTTGCGGCCCCACATCTTCTTGGCATGCGTTGTTGAGCTCCGTGTACAACATATTGAACACACTTTTGCCGAGGGTTTCAGGGCCCGATGGCTGACGGACAAGTGGGATCGAGGCATTCACATCTTGGGTCGACGATGGCGCGGGCTCTTCGTGGCTACTGGTTGCGACTTGTGCAGCCAGGAGATGCACCACCTACAGATCATCACGTACATGTGTCATTGTAATCAGCTACACGAATGTAGGATGCAATGTACTTTGAGTGCAGCTTGAACAATGGGTTTTGTCGGACTGTGGTTGTCGCTGGACGACGCCGCCGACGACCGCGCTTCATCAAGGACAGTCTGGAGGGTGCGGAAGATACCGACACGGGAAATGAATGCATGGTCGTCGGGGGTGATGATCACGCCCCATGCTTGGAGCACCACCAATTGCACATCGTGATCTTTGGCCCATGTCGCGCGAGACAGGAGAGCTGCCAGGTTGCCGTACAATTGTTCCCATGACTCACGCACTTGACGGTGTAGAGCCGTGCCAGCCCCACCGAGCGCATCTAGGTAATGGGACCCTCCGTGGATTGACACGGACTGGTCCAACGAGTCCACGTTGCTCAGCCACTGCAGCACACCGCACAGTCCGGCACTCTGTTGAAGGCCAAGTTCCACCACGGCACGCATCGCGTTCAGTCCAAGCATGCGAAAATACGCCCTCGAGCAATTCTGTAGCATCATCGATTCCAGCCGCTTCAATTGGACGCCCGCTTCGATGAATCTAACCCAAGTCATCAATGCCTTTCCATACGTGATCTTATCAAGAGCAAACGCATTACGCCAACACGTTGGAGTTTCTCCGAAAATGGAATACGCAATCAAGACGTGAATCATCAAACCAAACGCTTCGTCTCCCAGTCCCACAACCACCTGAATGCACGCACTTTGGTACCTGGACACATTCATCACGATTTCCGAGAACGCGCGCTCTTGCAGCACATGGTGACCACGGATCGGTTGAAGTCGAAGCAGGAATCGAGCGCGACGGGTAATGAGAGTTGCGACACTGGCATACGTCATCGCGTTGGCGTTCTTCGTGCGAATTCCCCACTCAATGACACGGTGGGCCGACCGCCAAATGTGCAGGATGTTTTCGCTCGGACGAATGTCTTCTTGTGAGGCATCGATTGACGCCACTTGTGCGTGCCACAACATGGCAGCCAAAACCGTGCGTTTGGCGGTTTTCATGGCCTCGCCTACTCGTTTCCCCACGTCACAGCATCTCTCTCCATACGTAGAATGGGTTACCTCCAAGTCGGACAAAGGCAGACTCCCCGGCGTGCTTGGTGACGTATGAATCGACTCCGCTCTCGCGGCCAGACATCAAGTCTTGCAAGAACGAGCTGAAGCCTTCGTTGGACGTTGCAGGCAATGGGGGTGGCAAGATCGGCTGAAACCACGGCAGCAACGGGTGGTGCGACGTTTGAACAAGCGCTTGCAAGTGTCGACTAATGTCCGCGAGGGGCAGACCTCCCGACAGCAAGGAGCAATTGATCCATTCGTCGTACTCTTCGAATGGCGCGTCCGCAACCGACGGCGCAATCTCGGATTCGTCCAATCCAATCATGCTCTTCTCAATCACCGGTGCGTCATGCGTGAGGAAGCTTGAAATGTACGCGCCAACGAGGGTCGATGCCACGAGGTGGAGAACCGGTCGCGCTGCTGATGTGGCAAGACTCGGTGCGGTAGAAGCACTTGCCTTGCATTCGCCCATGATCCGGCCGCTCGTGTGGCTCTTGGTATCTTCATAAGTTCCTGCAAATGTCTTGCCGTCGACGCGAACTCGGCCCGCGACCAAGCATGTGCTTCCTTGCATCCACGTCTCGAGGAAATTCACTTTCGTGCCTCGCAGCGTACCTTTCAAGCTAACTGCGTTCGTCGAAACGGAGTGGCCGGTCAAGTCCCCTCCTCGACTGTCCTGCGTCAGCTCCACTACGTACTGCTGCGCTGGAATGTTTCCGGCCGCGCTCGATTTCAGTTCCCACGTCCCACCAATCTCCAACTGCCACGGGTGCTGCTCCGAGTCCAGTCGCTTGACCAGCTCGACCATGGCCGGCAGCAAGTGCCACGCAAACTGGACGCGCCAGGACGCCTTCATTAGCGCGAGCGCGCTCAGGAGCGGCACGCTCAGCTGCTCAACGTCAAGAACTTTGTGAGTGTAGCTCACCAGGGTTTGGAACACCACGTCCGTGTCCATTGCGAATGATTGGGTTGGAAACGGGGATTCGCTTCCATGGACCGCTCCTCGTGGGGACAGATGGGTAGGAGACAGCGCCTTGGGGATCGGCATTGAACCAGAAAAATTGTGGGTGTGCACAAGCGTCACCTGGTCGTCGCGTTGGTACAGTCCGATTGCGGGATACAACGCGCCGTACTGCGTGAGGCCATCGAATGCAGTTCCCCAGTCGCTATCGTCGTCCAACAGACCGAAGCTGAGCGCGCCAGTATCCGTGTTCAGGCGTACGCGCACGGTGCTGCCCGTGCTGAACCCGTCGCCGTAGTCTCCGCGAACTTTGCTGCGATTGTGCCACAACGCTCGGGTACCAATGAGGCCCCACCCCTGTCGATCACCCCCGACGTACGTCGACACGGCGGCATCTCGAGTACAAACGCCGAGAAACACGTGACCCTTTTCGCACCGATCGAGGCGTACAGCCCACTCGTGGAGGCCCGTGTTGGGAGCACAGGCATACGTGGACAAGACCATGCCCCATTGCTTGGCCGTGTGTTGCTTGGCGCTCGTGTTATTATCAACCAGCGTGAGAGTTTCGGCGCATCGTGAGGGGTCAAACTCCAACGCGGCGGGTGAGGGTTGGCCATTGCTACCCGTGGCGATGCCGTGAATGCACTGCAGCATGCCGTCCTGTAGAGCCCGCAGGAGGAGGAGCACTGGCGATGACGACGCAGTAACGTTTGCAACAAGTGGAGCGTGGGGGAAGGCTGACGGCGGCGGCGACTGCGCTGTCGGGTAAATGTGCACGTGGCGCAGCAGCAAATCGGCCAACACAGGGAGCTCGTTCCAAATCGTATGGATCTCCGCTTGTACTTTGTCAAAGAGTTGCTGGTACAACTCAGCCACCTACATGAACAACGTGAATTCAACTCACTCGCGAACAGGTACATCACCCTACGTTTTCAATAGTGACCTCGGAGGACGACAGCTTCGGCTGGTGAAGGTCGCCAGCTGCATTACACATATCCATAACAGCTTGTACAGAACATGTGCCTTGATTCAATCCCTCACGAATTGTCGAGGGAGCCCACACGAGCGGCGACTTTGTCGAGGAGCTTTGGACGAGCGCGGCGTCGTCAACTTGGTGGCATGACACGGTCTGTAGGGGAACGAAGGGCAGAGCCAAGTCGGGCAGCGCCATACGAGTGCACATCAGGTCCAGTTGGTACTGAAGAAACACACGACAGGAGTCACTCAGAGGCTTCGAATGAATGTCGTCGAGCAGCGACACAAGCAGGCGATGGCGAGACGAATGGTCGGGGTAAAAGTAAGCCAGTCCATGCACCCACGTGACTAGAGCCTGTTCGAGAACGCGATCATGGTACTGAACTGCCACGGGATGGCGCAACTCGCCAGTCGTCGTCATGTCCTTGGTTTGTGCAGTGTAGCGCTCGACAATGACCTTCAACGCAGTGGGGACGGGGTTTGGATTCGCGACGGATTGGCCGAGACCGACCGAAGCCGGTGCTGTCCCCACGACGTCCACGTGAAACAAGTGCAGCTCAAGCACATGCAACACCACGACTTGTCCAGCTTCAACAACCTGACACAGCAAATCGTTAGCTTCAATTTAATGCTTCAGCCACGACGCAAGTTGGATTTGCCATGCCATCCATCAGGTACATCTCCTAAACAACGTACCACTTCATCGAGCGGGTGGAGCTGACTTGTGTCGGTGGCCACCGTCTCCCGGTCGTGGAGGACATTCCAGAAGAACGCCAGATTCGAGTGCAACAGAAGAAACGTCAGAGGATGCGGCACGACGGGACTGGCGGCGGGCAAAATGCTGCGTTTGACACTTGCCACGTACGATTGACAATCCTCGAGCAGCGCCCCCAAGCAATACATGATGACGGTGGCGCCATCAACCACGTCTGGTAATGGATCGTACAGCCGCCACAGTTCGTCCGGGGAGAACGGCACAGGCGTTGGTTGCTCGATGATGGTGGGCGTCAGCGGAAGAGGGGGCGGGGGTACATCGGTTTTTTCGTCTTTCAAGCCGACTTCGGGGGACAGCGACAGTGCAATCGCACGCGCCATGAGAGCTTCTTCGTCGACCCCTGCAAACATGACGTTAGAAACGAGTACGAACACTTGGTTCACCGCCGCATCAAGTGCCCCCATTGCAGCGTACCTTCGTCCAGGTTGGGCATGTGTAGACTCATTTGTTCCACCAGCCGATCTTCGTCCTCCTCTGCATCGTTGTCCATGGCACGATGACTTTGTTCAAATCGACCTGGAGTTGGAAATATTAGCACGACAACGGTCAAACACAAGAGCTGCATGTTCCCACGCGAAGAAGCCATTTGCCTCGAGGAGGCCGATCAGGATATCATGACGATGCAACAAAAAATCGTACCGAGTCGAGATCGGAGAGCAGCGAGCGGATCCAGTTGACCCTCCAACTCCATGACGCTGCTGATAAAGTCCAAGGATGCAGCCGATTCCGCATTGGGACTGGCACGTTCCTTGTCTTTCTCCACCGACGCTGGGGGCGACGGCGACGGCGCCTGGCCGCTCAAGATTTGCAAGTGCGACCCCACAGGGATCTCCACCTCGTGCAATGGGTACGATGCCATGACCTTGACGACGAGGAGAAGGGCTTGCACCGATCGATCCCCAATAGCACGCGCGACAAACCGCGCCAGGTTCAACGCTGTCTCGTCTGGAGTCAACGGCGGTAGCGTGAAATCCGGGTGGTACATCTCGGGCTTCTTCGATTTCGAGGACGACGCAGTGGAAGCGGCAGTGCCTCGTTGCTTTTTCTTTTTGCTTGCGCGCTTGCTTCCGCTCTCAAACTTCTTCGGCATGGCGTCGTGCCCGGTGACCAACGGGTGGCACACGATCGTCCCGTACAACAGTGGATCAGTTTCACGGATCGCTAATAGCAAAGGATGGAAAACGCGCGGGTCCACAGCGTCCTCGAGCAACTGAATATGCAGTGGGACGGCCGGGGAGGGGACGTGGATGTCTGTCTCAGAGGGAGGCGGTGGGGGCAAGAGCGGCGTGGACGATGACGACGTGTCGGCATCCCCAGACATCTGGTCCGTCATGGAGGAAGGCAGAGGTGGAATAACTAGGGACGACGACGTGGAGTCGCTACTGTCTATCATGTCGCGATCGTCGTCGTTTAGGTCAAGTTCCGCCGCGGCAGCTGCGACGGCCGACGTCGCGCGCATGCTCTCGTTTCGACGGCCCCCGCCACTTAGCGCAAATTCAATGTCGGACTTGGCTTCCATGAAAAACCTGGTCAGTTCTTCCACCCGTTGTCGTCGCGACGCTTCCGAAGACATGCGGGAGCTGTTACTGCAGCTGTAGTCGTCCTTCTTGCCTGAGGTGGCCACAAGCACTTTTTCTGCACTAAGTTTCACCCCTTCGGCTCGTCCCGCAGTACTCAAGTATTGCAGGGAGTCGGTGGAAAGGACAGTATCGCGATCCGAGCAGAGAACTGCCAATTCTCCCTAGGTATGGAAGACACAATCGGAAAAGGACGACGCATATAGGCACACGCACCAGTATGCGTTGAGATCGACTATTCGAGGAAGCATTTTCTTGCTGAAGTATCTCGTAATGGACATTCGCTTGGCCGCGCCGGTCCTGCTCCACCGCGCCGGTTGCGTCCATTTTCCCAAAGATCTTCTGCCGCAGTGGGTGGCCTCACTCTTCATAACCTCTATAATATCATGCCTCTAACACTTTATACAATTACGTGCTGGCACTGAGAATCTAGTTTAAACTTACTCTGCCTGCGTTTTAAGTCCACATGACGTGTTGCACTATATAAAGGAACGCCGGGTAATCCGGTACAAGGACGATTGATATGGATCCAATAAAAGCTATGTAAACGCAGGCGGGACTCACCACAACGTTTCGAACATCGGTTCGCTCTCGACACTCGAGACGGGGTTTAGCGTATGCGTTCAAGTCTTTTCCACATGCGGTGAAATTCAGGACGGTCAAAACTCTCGACAACCGCATGCCATGATCTGCTGCGTGTGGTCGCCGTGACATGAGCCTTCGAGAAGTTTGCATTCTTGAAAGCAACGATGGTCCTCGACGGTGCCCTCACGTTGGTGGCGTGTCATCCATACGCATCAATTCTGCTTCTGTTCGCGGCAGTTGTCGCCACCAGCGGTACTGTGCGAAGCGCTGCGTTTGTCTGGGCGACGTATGTGACCCTCACGGTGTGGTACCAATACCGGCAAGTTACCAAAGGCCGTCGAGACTCCACCGCTGCCTCGCCACCTCCTTCAAAGTCGTCGGAGCCAATTTCAAGCAGCAGAGCCGCCCCCTCGTTGGAGGACTCAAGTACCGACGAAGCGAAGACAGCCCGACGGACGAAGCCACGGTCGTGGGCCGAGTGAGTGGGCGCATTTGTTCTTCGTGGCGTGCGACCGCAAGAGCTTGGAGGGACCTGCACGAATAGCCAAGCAAGCACGCATTTGCACTCTCGTGCGTTCGTAGCCCACGTGCTCAATGATTTATTTGTCGTATTTTCTGAATGATCCATCGCGGGCGAGTTTGTGCTTGGTTGACAACATTACACGTCAAATTCACAGCCATGCTGACGTTGCAAGTCGTGTTATGAGCTATCCATTCACTACGCACTCGTCCAGAGCGCTAAAGTCGTCTACACCTTTCCTTGTCATCGGATGAGTCTTCATGGATCGGTCGATGCGTGTGCCGTCAGCGGCGCCCTCGCGACCAACCTCAACCCACGAGTGTGTTCTCCATCCGTTGCCACACCAACGCCAAGCGTCTCCCCACAAATAATTAAATACGTCAATACCATCACGTTACGGCTGGGGTTGGCCTTTCGTGTCACGGCATGGCGGTGGTCATGGCTGTACTCGGCGTGTAGCTCGATGCGCGATCGTACGAGCTCGTGGCGCTGAGGCTGCTTTCGCTGTTCAGGCTGTTGACGTAGGTGGGAGTGGCGTCGTTGCAGTCGTTATCCGAGTCATACCGGAGCAAGTCCGTAAACAGATCGCCGCCTCGCGTCCACCTACAAATCGCATTGCCACGATGAGCCAACATTCAACGGGGCAACCAAACCCACCGCGGTTGATCTGATACGTTGATGGGGGTGGTGCGGGCCGCGCCGCCGTACTCGACCGCGGGGCTTCCAACTAGTCGCGTGGTTTCGCTCGTATCGCGGACGTACCCCGTGTTGATGACATGGAAGATGCCAAAGTCCGGCAGCTTCGTGTCCCCTCGAAAGGACGCGTGGCGGGGAACTACCCAAAAGCATGTCAATGCATGAAAAGCCGCGACGCTCCAGCACGGGAACCGTCACAATTTCAAACGCGGCAAGATGACGTGGTCGCACACGTTGTGTGTTTGACGACAATTCGGATGGTTGCAGAAACGGACGCGAAAGAGATCAAGGGCGAACGTTGCGCGCCACACGATTCTCAAATGCAAGAGGTGCAGCGAGCCATGCAACGGAGCATTTGACAAGGTCAACATCACGTGCAGCACCGAATGCTGGTGTCATCCATCGCACAATCCGATCGAAAGGGGAAATTCCATGACGGCGCTATCCAAGTTGCACATTCCATGCAAAACCCTGACACATGAAACGAACGGCCACACTTGGTCCATCTCGATGGCGCGACGGACGTCGTGGGTTTGATCGCGGCATACCTCCAACGGCCCCGGCCTTGGTCGAGATGAGCGCGAGCAGGAGGATTGTCGGGACGAAATCCCACATGACAAACATGGCAAAGTACGAAAACGTCGGAATCTCGCCAAACTGGTCGACGGGGTTGACCACGCTGAACCGGAGCCAATTCTGCGACGTGAGGAAGTCGCGCACGGACCGCGTGAAGAAGATGAGAAACAGCATCGAATTGAACACGGCCAGGCTCTGCGGTTCGTTGTCAGTCAGTAGTACCACTGCGTCGACGTCATGCCATCGTACCCGAGGCTTGGATATGAGCAGCCGGTGGCGCTTTGAGCTGTCGACGTGGGCGAGCTTCCACCCGAAGAACGCAAACAAGAAAGACAGCACGAAAAACGATATCGCAGAGTACTCCAATTGCACCCGCACTGCCGAGATCTTAAACATGTCTTGGTCATATTCATCGCCGTAGCGATACGCGGCCTCGAGCGACGAGTTTGAGTTGCACGCCCAGATGGCTGTGAACGTCGCCATGCTGAGCGTCAACACTAAGTAGAGCGGGAGGCAGATGCGGCGCCACGTCGTTCTCCATGCTTGTCCAGTGATGACCTGTACCAGGGATGACGGGAACATGCAACATCGTTCGTTGGTACCTGGATGTAAAACAGCACAAGAAGGGCGAAGTTGGCAAACTGGATCGTGGTGGGAAACCAGTAGAGGAGGTAGAGCTCCAGGTACGTCATGCGGTCGCGCAGCTCGATCGAGATCCAAAAGCTCACACGAACGGTGACCCACAGCAGGCAGAGGCAGTAAAAGCACGTGCTCCACGCCATGACCTTGCTCTTGTTCAGAAACACCATAGCCAGCTTGCCGACGAGGTACAGCATGAGCATCACGCACATAAAGACTAGCGTCCACGTGTACACCTTCTCTGCGACAGACATCTCCGCGCCGCCGCCATTGCTCGTGTTCGTGGTCACCATGCCCTGCTTGCTGTACCGCGGGTCAGCCAGGATGACGCAGAAATCTTCGGGGAGCCACACGACGAAGCCTTCGAGGTTCTCCTGGTCTACCTTTACAACGTTTAGTTACTTTCCGTCGTCGCCGTGGCCGTGCCAAGTGTTCTGTCCGGTCGGGTTTTAGCCGGGTATTTGCATGGAACAACCAAGGTACACTGGAGATATTTTCGTGGGAACGATGGTCCGTCACCCGAAGATGGGCACTTGGTCCAATAAGAATTCGTTACTACTACCTCTGTTCCATATTACAGTACTGGCGACAATTGAAAATCACACGCGATATTTCATTCTTATTGGCTAGAAATGATGCATACATCGATTTTATTGGATAAAATTCCTGAGTTTGATCGACAATCGGCACTTGGGATGACCGACAGCGGCTCACCGCCGCGTAGCTGCTTCGATAGAGCTGTGGATATGCGCTTCCTAGAGGAAACGCTGCGGGATGCGATAA